TATATCGCATACACTGAATAGAAAGGAAGCTTCTTACTGCGTGATGGTTTAATGGAAATCTATGTATGGTGTATTGTGACTGGTGGCAGCAAAACAAACAATTATAGCTTCAAATCAAGGCAGAATTCATAACAGTTTTCGCAACATGTTCCGTTCTTGATCATATTAGTTTTGACTATATACCATTATGTCATGATATTAAGAGGGGGTCGCTGCTGAATGCACTCGCAGGTGACACGTGGATAATAATGAATGATTCGACTTTGATACCAATTCTGCTTGTCAACATGGAAATGGTTTCCGATCACGAGTGCAGCCGATGCATTACCGGAACTTTAGCCTTTGGCCCAAGTAATCACCATAGAGTCTTTAGATATGTACTATTCATAAGAAATCCTATACAACGTAATTCTGAAATCGAATTTAGAAAAAAAAATCCGAAAATCAAGTAAAGTGAATTTAACCCTAAAATCGTGTTTGGTTTGGTTAATGGCGTGTTGGCAGAATATCTACTGCCCCTTGGTGTCAGCCTGTATTTCAAATATATTCATACCAAGCATATATTCTTACAGAAAGAAGAGTAAGATGCGTTCAAGGTCCACCAGGTACGTTTAAAACATTTAAATATTCACAGTATTATTTGTTGCAATGCCGGCGCCAGTTCGACTGACCCAACATTGTAGGTACATTGTTGTCCTACGTGCGACGTTGTCGGTCACATTGAATAGGCATCTTCACTGAAACCGATGAACCATTAAGCCCTCTGACTGTCAGTACTTTTTGTATATGAAATTATTTTCATAAGTTGGCCCCTCTAAAATCTATAAGCGCTTGAATTCTTTCAAATCATTTAGTGAACTAACTCTCATTTTATTTACCACGTGTAGGTCCACCGGGTAACTGCTCTTGCAACCTGACCTCCTTACTCGAAGAGGAAATGACGTCACGAAAGAGGATTGACGTTTCCGTATGTATATCACGAATTTTTAGATATTGAAGAATCCGTATGGGGTCACGCCTTTTTATTCGCCAGGTGGATTATATTACTTTTCGTTCGAAGTTTATCTTGAATGTGAACTTGCTATTGAGTTAGTATGACGTAAGCTTAAACTTTCATTTTAGAATGGGTTGTCATCATTTCACATGATTGGACACGAACATGTCATCACAAGTAATGGTAAGTATAAATCAGTTGTATGTACTATATCAATACACCACTCTATTGACGAACGCTTCTTGACGTAATCACTACGCAATGCCGCTCAAAACGACGACTTTGTTTGGTTTCACAGTATTTCGTCGTCTATAGTATTATTTCCTAAAAATCTAATCTCCATCGAATTGCGACAAATGAAAACGATATGAACGGTTTCGTTATAGAATAGTTTCTTCAAGTTTGATAGAGGGCGCCATGCGTTATAAATATGGACATCTCAAACATAATTGTCTGATCACGTATGCTAATAAATATTTAGGTTGTGAAATAAAAAAGTGTGTTTGTGACAGCATTCGTTCAACACTGAAAACTCAGTGACACACAAAAACATTGATATTGAAAATACATGTTCTCATATATGATAACATCGCCGATTAAAATGCGCATGCGCACTTGTCCCAAATGTCCCATGAAATATTGTTTTTTGTTTTTTTAAATTTAACCATGATACATGCTTAAATCATCGAATGACTGCATCAATCCGTTTCTCGAGCACCACCGTCCAAACCAACGAGAAACAATCGTGCTTGGAAAATGTCATGTCGCCATATCACTTTTAATAACTGTGCATAGTTCCATGCATATATAGTACATTCAATGTTGATAAGCATTTAAACATGAAAAGTCAACTTATTCCTTCATATAGATAACTTTTATTTCTCTCGCATAAATAAAATTCTTGAACACTTTTCACTTTGATCTGTCTGTAGGAGGGTACTTTTCCTGGAAAAGAGAATATACGGAATCGTACTTCGAATTAGCCCACGACAGAATTGAGTCACGTGGTGGTCACGAAGTGCAATATATTACAATAACAGTTCCCGGCTATTATTTCGTGTACTCCCAGTTGATGTATGCAGATGGCCGTTCCTTGAATATTGGACATAAGACCGTGGTTGAACGTGGTAATGTGGAAATAGATATCATGCTCAGTGGTGCCACAGAACAGACAGGGTGAGTTAACTAATTTAGGCGTCCTTTCGGAGTCACCTGCGCATGCGTCAGATGGCCTTAGCGTGCCGTTGTTTACAAACAAGCGTCGTCGCCTGGGACTCAATTCCCGCGCGTGCGCAGGTGACGACACAATTACGTATGACTACAGAATTTACATATTTGCGAGTTAATTAAAAGCCTGAAATTTCACGGTTCGTAAAAATATCGCCTCTAGGAAAGGGTAACACAAATCATGTCTGTGGGTGGTGGTGATCTTGTATCACACACCCGTTTTAGCTAAAATTCAAAACTACCTGAAATAGTTGTATTATTACAATTTATAATAATAGTCATTCAAGAGATATTGCGTAAAACAGCCAATATCTTGGGATGTTGGTGCATGTCATGATAGTCAATTACGATTACCATTATCCTTGTATGAACCAATCAGATTATGCGGATTTTTATTACGTCATGATAGTGTGAAGATACCGACGGGGTGAATTTTGCTGCCATTTGTTTTTGTTTATGACCCCCGGGCTTCATTTTTTAAAGAAATAATTAGTATTTATGATAATTATTACAAAAATAATCACATACAAACGTTCATCGACATTTTATAAGAACCTTTCACAGCGAAATTATTCTGAAAACCCCCTATCAAATTGTTAAATCACCGGAGCAGAACTTATTGATTTGGTATTTTGACAGTTAATCTCCAGTCACATGACCCCATGTAAACAGTCTTTGAAAACATGAATTATCAAATTCCTGAATATTTCAGCTTTCAGAAAATATATAGTTTGCCGTCAATAAGTTTTGATTTGAATTGCTCAGATCGTTTTAACTAAACGATGGGATTTCCCCGGGTGCTACCTTAATGCGCTGAACTGGCATGATATACGAGATGAACTATTATAGTCACCTCCTTTTATATTATGTTATTTAGATGGAACATTTTGTATTGATTTGTCTCTACTGTATGGAATGTTCCTTGCCTCTCCATCACCAAAATATAAACAAAAAAACGTTGCATTTGTACCTATGAGGGCGTTATGTTTGAAGGTTCGGCGAAAACATCACTGTTATTCAGTATGTAATGCATATTTTACAGATCAAGAAATACTCGTACACCACCCGCTGATTCCGGTTACCATGGCGGCGTGTTCTATCTTCGACGTGATGATAAGATCGGTATACAGCCATTGTATGCAGGAGAAAAATTTGTACTCGATCCGACTAAATCATTTTTTGGTGGTTTCCGCATCTGGGCTGGGCATGGCGACGACGGCATCGACAGTGGGTATGCTTGAATGGCGCGCAATGAGTCTAGATTGTACAGACAGTTAAGGTGTTACTAGATCGTTTCTGTACTGTGTAATGGGTCAGTCAGTGGTAATTCTGTTATGACGGCGTGCCTATATCATCTTGCATATGCCAGTGATTTATACAACAATGTGTGTTGTACGTTCAACCCACAGCAACTTGAAAGTGCGTAATATTTGCTGTTCTTGCACTAAATTTTCTGGACTAGCACGGCTGTGATATTGTTAGTATAGCCGCGGAAAAGTTGATATCTGAGCTTCGCCGGTATGTTATTTGCCCCTGACGCCAATACTAAGTTTTTCAAACCGTGATTTTCTTATCAACTGAGAATAAGTAATTTGGTTGAGTGTTCATCTTACACGCTGCCTAGTCGTCATTATATTTGATAGTAAACTTGAAACATTCCTTGGTTTGGCGAGAATTACCGTCCCTTCGTGAATGTTTATATTGACATAATAACCACGTGACCCCTCGGTAGACTCAACAATAATGGCCGCTGAGATGGTAATTTGTGTCGTTCTCAGTCAATGTCCAAAATATGAGAATATATATAGTGTTCTGACTGCCTGACTACTAATGTAATTTTATGTTATACAATTTTATGCAGAGTCACGTGACGTGCCAACCCTTCCACGCATACGACCACGTTTTTCATATCAGATTTTTATGACAACAGTTGTATTAAACAAGACTGTTTTGTAAAATAAATACCAATTTATAGAATGCACGTGTGTAAATTGTTCATGAAATGTATTTTATATTTTACCAGTAGAAAGCACACACACGGACTGGCCCAGTGGGTAGAAATTGGGACCTACAATCACCCGAGAGAAGTATCGTAGACATTATTTCTTTAAATACATACTTTTATTGGGCAGACTTTATAGTGACAATGATTCTGCTTAAATAGCGCCCTATTTGTTGGAAATTCTACGGAATCGTTTGCTTACTCGGCTGTCAATCCCGGAAATTGCATACAGGAAACATGGCACATCGTTGTTTATTTTACAAACTCTATTAATTAATTAATTAATTAAATTTGCTGTGAGTTTAGGCGTCCCTTTAACATGAACGTCTGCACCATCTTTAGAGATAAAGTCGTGTCAACGAACAATATATATATATATTGAAGGTTTAATGTGAAACTAGAGTAAATTCATGGTAAAATGCAGGAGTTAGCACCACCAATATTAACTAATACACCATTCCTGTTAATCGCGCCCTCTAGCGAAAAAGTGCTTTTGTGACGTCATAATTACGTATTGGCTGAAACGCTACTGTTCAGTGAGTTGACCACAGATTTAAATAATATGTGGCTATTTGAACGGTCTCCTTTCACCCATTTATCCCACTTAAGTACTCACAGTTGCCAGAGGGCGCAACATGTCCGTGAAGACAAGTTTTGTCTGTTTGAATATTAGCTTTCCATGCAAACGAGAGAAATTGTCGCAAAATCAGAACGATAGTAAAAGTGACGAAGACCTTCGAACACAAATTGCTGGGTTGTGCTTTGTTTAGTTATGCGTCACGGTTTACATACTGCACAGCCGCAGGAGAGAATGTATCTATATGTTGCATAGGCGAACTGGTTCTTCCTACAGCGCAGGCGCACAGCTTTGATGTTCGATTGTTGGTCTTGGCAACTTTGGCATTTATATTTGAAAGGATGACGTAGAACGTCGCGAAACGTCACAACTGGGTCGGTGGATGAAGTGTCCTCACAGCTTCCACTGCAACGAGACATCAATACAATCTGCGGAGAAAATGTGTATGGTATCGTGAAAACAAATCTAATTACTGCAACTAATTAGAAGATGAACTGCATTTATCACAGAATGTAAATAATACACAGAAGCAAGAAAGAAGCTATTCACAGAAAATTATCTTATCTTATCTTATCTTATCTTATCTTATCTTATCTTATCTTATCTTATCTTATCTTATCTTATCTTATCTTATCTTATCTTATCTTATCTCATAACAATTCCAAACAAGTTTCATGCGAACACAATGAACGTTCAATAGACAGAACATTAAATTCTAATACTAGTAGTTGTAACCTCATTCCACGAGGTGCGAATTTGAAAAGGTGCAGTTAATGGAGCCATTCATTGAAAAAGCTATTCCAAGAAGATTTATTGAGGAGAGAACTATTGCTATTCTTTGATTACAGGGTTGAAATTTTGCAATTCTCTCCAGACAAGAAATATTGCGTGCAATTTCTGCAGTATAGGGAACGATTTTGAGATTTGTTTGAGGGGAGCTACATTGTAAATCTTGGGTTAGAGAATTTTCCTAGATTGTTTAGGATTGTTTTTAGAGTGACCATTTTGTCCATTTAGTGAGACAAAATTGTTCGGATCCGTGTATGTTCCTGCATTTAAAAAAAGGCCAATCTTATACAAATTTCTGGGCAGATGGAAAAAAACAAAGAATTATTTTGCGGGCAGGGAAAAACGTGCTAAGAAACGTGTGGAAGGAAACATGACCTTCAAAAAGATGGGAGTGAGCAAAAATATCAAAAGCCTCGTATGGAAGTTGGGAAAATCTCTAGCCAGAGGGTAGGATATGAACGGCTTTTAATTTCCCTTTCTAAAAGTCTACATTCCAGGCCAAATTTCTAGATCTTTGAAATAAGTTTTGTCATGAAAAGAACATTAAGGTATATCACTCGTTGGTTGCACCCGTTTGAACCCGTTCTTGGAACGACCCCGCACTCGCTCGATAAACATACTGATAATATACAGATGGAGTCAGTTATCGTTTATTAAAACCCAAGGCCCCAAAACAATTAGACACACTACGACAATTCCATCGTCAAATCTGCGTCTCGTTGGCTAGCCTTATTTTAAGCCTGTGTTTTAGGTGGGGACAATAAGTTCCAAAACTGAAAAAATTGACCACCATTCTCAAGCATCCATTAAAATATACTTAATGTTGACGTCAGACTTGGCATGGACTCGGAGTAGTACATATGTAGAATATTCTCAGTGGTTACCTTGTCATTACATTTCTTCTTTGGGTGAGTGATGCTCTGTGTGTAGTAGTATCTCATGCACTTCGTTTCCATGGCAACATCTTGTGTGAATACCACAATAAGAAGAGCAAACAGGAGTATTATATATGGTCTATGTAGTAAATCATCCATGCCTTTTCCTGTAGAAATTAGAAAAATAAAGTTCGATGGATATAAAAGAGAAAATAAAGTCGAACCAGGCTTTTCTGATTACTGTATATGATGACTTAATTAATCGAAATTTTCCCACGTGTTGTGCGACAGTGAGTCTTTTCTACTAGAAAGAAACTATAACTAGCAATAATACACACGACAGTACAATATAGGCTAACATTTCTACGGCATTCTTGTATTATCTACGGTTATTGCATCTACACATGTGTATGGTAAGAAACATTGTAATGCGGTGCACCCAAAGTGCCAAGGGTACTGGATTTTTCGATATGACTGATTTCCAAGAAATGGAATGTTGCATCTCGATTGTTATAGGGTGAATAGCGCCCTCATATGAAATGATCAATAATTGCTACATAACTGTGTAATTGTGTTTCGTTTCGAAATGTGTTCATCTAGACTATAAACATCTGGCTTGGCTTACATTAAACATTAATAAAGTAATTGTTCACATTAAACTATAATAAAGTAATGTTTTGATCGAAGTCAAAGTGATGTGACCGAGAATAAAGTTTCTTAAAAATGTGTTTTAATGCAGGGGAAATACAAGCATATTTAAATACAATAATGCACGAGTTTATATGGGAAGGTACTTTTAATGTTGTGAATGTTTGTATCATAGACGCAAACTTAAATAACTGTGATTGAATAATGCATTACAAAAACAATTATTATTGGTGTAGCCGAACTTGTATATTATTTTAGATTGGAATATGAATAAAATGCATGCAAATGTGGTTTAGGATTCAAAAACTAGTACGCCAAGAATTGAATACAGTCATTCACAAGGAATAGTACAACAAAGTTTCAAAAATTTGTGTTCCATTCCTAGGAATGTAATAGTATTACAGCATCACTACCAGTAAGTGAAAACAATATGCTAATATAATATTTGGATGTAGGCTAGATAGGGGGGGGGGGGGTCAATAATGAGCAGCGAAATATGTGACTTGCACGCAAGTCTCTATGGGAGTAAATTTAAAATGGTTCATTGCCCGGTAAACTAACAAATGATTTGCCTGTAAATGTTATATAGTTCGCGTAATACTCTGTACCTACTCTATTCTGGTACATTCTAAACTAAAGATGTCACTACTCTACTAATCCCACGCAACGTAAGTGAGTATCGAAACATGTGATTTCAGTTAGAACTAAACATTCTTTTAAAATTCATGTGACATTTTCATTAACTTGTTCACCGTGTGGCTGCTGTCACAAGTGTGGAGATTTTAATTGTTGATTTTAACAACAATACTTATAGGCAAATACCTATCCGCGGATTCCACGGGGTATTAGTTTGAAGGATATGTATTAGTAATGGAATGTCCAGGAATACGATAGCCCGGACATACACACTATGGGTAACACTATTTAGAGTAAATAAGCAAAATGTGTTGTTATTTATTGACATTGTTGTTTAAACCGTATTTATTTATTTGTCATTAGCTAAAATGTACCAAGCTTACATCGAGATAAACTGTAGAACACGTTGACATAGCTGCATGCAATTTTAGCGGATTTGTCTTTTGGAATGATTTGACAGAATCTTAATTTAGCTAAAGTGTCGACTATCTCATTGTGAAAATATAAATTAGCTGCATCTTGAATTAGCGAAATTATAGATTAGCTAAATTAGCTAAAATAACATGCTAGCTAAAAGACATGTTTTACGTTATATGCGCGTGCGTTATTCTGTCACGGCCAGTGCGAAAACAATTGGGTCGACCTGGTATGGTAAGATCGGTTAATTTCCTCTCAAAACGCGCAATGATATGCAATAAATAGTGCTCTAACTAAAATGTTATTATAAAATTGTGAGTTGTGAGTTGATATGAACAGTCCAAGTGTTCCGTTAACCACTATTACTACACTTCGACTAACTTCACCATCCGGCAAAACATGGCTTATATACGTCGTCAACAGTTAAATACTGCTCGGACCAATAAATATGAAATATAGTATGCAATACTAGTATTTGATAATCATTGCAAATATTCAAAATAGCTAGCCGTTTCGGACATTCTGGTCCTTAATCAACGGTTTTCGTTTTTTTTTTTATATTATATCAATAAATCGTGGTACATAGAGTAATAATGGTGTTAGTTGTTGTCATATGCTATATGTACCATCCCGTCTAATCTATATGTCTAAGGGCATCCATCCAGAAGCGCTTTGGAAAAATAAAACATGCAACGTTATTTTTCCATGCGCAGCGCCACAAAAAAGTGAGATAGACTAAACCGTGAGAAAGTACGTTCTAATTGTTAATGCATGCAGTGGGTGTGCCAAGGCCTAAAATAGTATCCATATCAAAGTGCAACAATATTACATGCCGTACGTAATGTGTCACTCCGCGGGATGTCGCAACCCTAATTACCCCCTAAGTTGACAAAAATTAGAAATCCTGCAAACTGGAGCGCGCGCGATTCAGCTGGGTTTGATCATTTCTCAAACTTGTGACGTCAGAGATCGAAATTGTGCGTCAAATGCTGGCCTCTGTCGGTGAGGTCTCCCGCTATTCTGCAATTTCGCACAGACCTGTCTGCACGTGGCGGAAATGAAACGTAGCACTGTGATGCCAAGCTCAATTTTGTCGGGAGATGGTCAATTTTATTCCGGATTAACTGTTAATCAAACAAAATGACTGTGGACAACGTCAAACACACAAATTGTTTTTCAACCTGCGATATGACGTCAGACGTCACGTCGAAAAAGGGTGAATTCAAGTTGACTAACGATTGATATAACGATTCTCACGTACATTTAGAAATCACATTCCTGTATAAGTACATCGTCAGCTCATAGCAAGATATCTCGCCCCCTGCCTGGTTTTGTATATTATGACTGCAGGATCCATTGCACATTTTCGAGGTCTGAATATCGAATTTGTTAAAACTGTCGCCGTTTTGTTTTGTCGAGTGGTTTCCTGTCTCTTTGTGCAACATTCCCTGACATTATTATTTGAATGCATGCCCGTTCTATAGCTTTTACTCTGGAACATACTTCATAGAAAATAGGTTGTTACATTGTAATTGTGGCGATTCTGTGTCTATATATGAACAAAACCAACCTGGAAATGTGCTTGTATCGTCGCGCTTCGACAAATTAAAAAGTGATATAAATAAGATCTAAACGTAAGTAAACTTTCATCATGACAAAAAAGTGATAGGTCTGTTTCGTAGACCAAACATTTCTATCGCTTGTTTCTGGATATAGAATGAAGTGAATAATGGAACGTGGTCAAATTTGTAAATATATAGAAGTGTCTATAATGGATGTGTTGAGATTGTCAGTTGGTATCCATTGGAGCATTTTCTTTCTGAAAAATCGACTCAGTGTTCGAGGTTTCTCTGTCAGAGTTACATGGGTTACATAGTATACAAATACAACTAACAAATGTAAGAGTCGTCGATGCATTTATTGATATTTTAATGCCTACGTACTGTATTTTACAATGCATTTTTTCTAAGATGTTGTTCGTTTTGGTAATGAGGTGTATGTTCAGCAGAGAAGATTACAAATGAAAACTATTATTTTCGCCGTGATGTGAACAAAAGGTTGCTCGAGCTAAAGCGCAGACTGAGGCTGAGGCGAGGATATGTAAATACTACTGAATGTATAACAAGTGAAAGGCTTACCTTAAAGACGTGAAATACGCACACCTATAGTTGATATCTTACAAGCACGCAATAAATCTCAGTATGGTTCAAACGCTTATATTGCTGGAACATAAGGCACTCCCATCTCGACCCCGTTAATCTAGTGAGATCATCATATACAAATCGGAGGATAGGAGATACAGTCGACTTGTGGTTGAGTATGTATGCCCGAGCGTTGTGGTACGAATCCAAACTGCTGTCTTTTGACAGCGTTGGGTTAAGTCTTGTCAATTAAACATATCGCTATTACGCAGGAAACAAGCGCGTCGTGAGAAGGAAATTGAGAACCTCGCTGTGTTTGTTTTGGAGTCCTTGATCGTCGGCAGGGAATTGGTTCGTCTGGTTGGTTGTGGTGTCGAGTATGGGAGTCTGATCGATGTGGGTAGGTTATCGAATCACGTGTAGTCGCCGGCACCGCTGTGAATAATATTGGCTGGCGCATTGGGTGGCTGAATTTTAGTTTAACGAGAGTAGGTGAGTGAGAAAATATTAGAATTGTCTCATTAGTACAGCAATTGATGACGCAAGAAAATACATGGTCGGTAGATCACGAAAAGTTTCATTGTCCCAGTTTAGTTACGATTATTATGAATATGAGTATATTCCATAAAAAGTGCAGATAGCTGTTATTAACAAATCAGTGGAATTTTCTGAAAAGCTGTTTAATAAAATTTATAGAAAATAACAATATTAAATTTGCGTTGATATTGAATCAAAGCGAATACAATAGTTAGATTTTCAAGTGCGGGCGTGTTGGAGTGGGCGTGGACTGCAGACTGAGTTTCTCCGACCACCGTATTAGGTTCCAGGCTTAGTCACTAGTACTACTGTTGTATTAAAGAATAATTTACCAATTTACGTGTTTCGCATAAACACAACATCTGAATCAGGTACAATCGTTATTATAACTGTAATCACGAGGTACCAATAGTGCATGTGATTATTATGTCAACCGCATTCAGATTAAGATCTCTAAATTAAAGCGGGAGAGTCGTCACCTGCGCAAGCGACATACGGCCATAGCGTGTCGTAGTTTACAAACAAGCGTCTACCCGTGAGCCTTTACATGAAGTTATGCGAACTGCCAAGAACAAGTCACTAGAAATCAATTAATTGTGTCGCTTAATTTAAAGATTGTAACGCATTAGAATTTAATTGTGTACAATGAACAAAGTTAGTAACCAACCACGTGATTTACTAAGCTGTCTTTCAATCCATGGTGATTGGAGTTTATTTCTGTTGGTATGCATATTATAATAAAACATACACCTTATAAATTAAAAACATTATAATGTTCTAAGGATTACAGACACGTTTAACATGTATGTCATGATTTCGTGCATTGGTTGATAAACGCCTGAATAATGACGACAATACAGCGTTACGTGACGTATGTAATCATGTGTTTAGTGACGACATCTCTGGTAAATTAATCTTACGGGTTTGTATTTGCATGAACACCCGACTCATTTGCAGTTGCAACTCGACAGTTAATCCATATTTGACCTACTCAGTTACATCATTATAGTTCTAATGACACCGATATGTATGTACTAGTATTCACTCTTGTCAAAAGTCGTGAAGTTAAACTGTACTTGTGCAATTGCGTACGATCGTGTTGGTACTTCGTATGGTAATCACGTGGTACATCCAGAATCCCAGTACGTGACATACTCATCCTGTAGTTTAATCCCAACGCTGTCACCTGGGTTAAAACAAAATAGCACCCTCGTCAGTTTTTCGCATTTAGAGGTTTAAAACGGAGTAATATGGAATAATATGTTTTATTTTCTTTGTTTACACATTATTTGGCAGATTGTATATAGACAACGTGTATTTAGTGCGCCATCTCTGGCAATACATGAGATATTTTCTTCAATTCATTGTCTAGTCAAAATACTCGTTATAGCTGCATCACGGATAAAATTGTACGGTAGAAGTTTACTTTCCAGCCAGAGATTGAGCTGACAAATTACTATCTGTTACCTCGGAGCTTAAAATACAACTGACTAGACCAATTCATTTTATTATTTTGTTTCCCCATTTTAAACTAAACTAAAGAAACACAGCTATGATATACGGTCACCGTGAAATGTACGGTAAAATTCGTGTGCTTGGTGCAAGCTATATGCTCTCAATACAATGTGAACATAGATTTTAAAAAGTTCAACTTTTAACCCCCGGGGATAATCCCTTTGGGTTTTTTGTTGTATCTGGTCTCAAATGGGATCCACATATTTCAGGGGTTTGGTCTATAATGGGGTCCACAATGACTGTTTGTCAAATGGGTATGGGTCTAAAAAGGGGTTTATTTTTTTCAAATAGTATTTGAACTTTTTTTTTTTTTGCATTTTGTGTAATTTACCGGATTTTCCAAATGTTTTTGATAAACATTAAATTGGTCTAAAATGGGCTCTGGGTTTTCACAGTGCGGGCTACACACCTACACCATATCGGCAGCCAAGTACCCCCCCCCCCAACTGTATTTACGGTGTAAGACTTCAGAAATGTTTTCATTATTTTGCACAGACCGACCCATGCCCGAGGTGGAGACACCGTCCCAGGCTCCGTCATGGTGCTGTACATCAACGGAACGGACGCATGGAATAGACTGCAGTGCCTGCGTCAAATACGCGTCGTAACCGATTTAAGTGGTAGTCGACATAAAAAGTTTGACCAGCTGAGGTTTTTGTTCAGTACTAGGCCACATACCGAAGACAATCCTGAAAAGTGGGAACAGTGGAAAGGTCGCCAAACATTGCATCGGCGCCGGATTCGTCGCGATCGGCTACACAACGGTACATTTTGTTTATGAGCAGTTGTCAAATCCGTAAAAAAGTAAAATATGAATGACATTTTTTGAATGATTTACTGTGATGGTAATGGTAAAGAACTACCTTAATGAAGAGCGTCGGTATTTACCGTATATGCTATGTTTTCATTGTCCACATTTTGGAGATGGCCATTGCAAATTGGCGCTAAGGACACAGTAACAATGTTTAACTTATTAAAAATAAAAATCGGAGAAAACGATCGATAGTTACAGCTATTGTCGCTTTAAAGGGCGGTGGTCGTCGCGAAGCGCGTGTTCGAATTTCATGTAAACAAACAATGTATTTTAAACGCCACGGTGTTCTTTATGTCGCGCGACGACCACCGTCCTGACACTGAATCGACACAGCTACAACTTGAATGGTATGAACAATCAAGTGAAAATACTTCTTATTAGTTACCTTTCCATATCCCCAAATCACTCATAAATTCAAGAGAATCATTGGTCCTGCTATAAAATTCAAACATCGATCCATTTGATGCACTCAGCCAATCAGCCTCCGATAAAGAGTACCACGTGGGATTGCCGGCTTCTTTGAATACATACGCTCCACTATCGCCGCTGATGGCATAAACTGTATTCGTAGACGCGTCCATTCCGAGAATGTTTGAGATTGACATGATCCCTGAAGCTTTAATGACAACATTTGTATGATATATTTTTTAAAAAAATGGTTATAAATTATGACGTCATGTAGTAGCCAGTATAATGTTAGTAAGCCATGACTTGCAAACTGGGATTGGGAAATATGCCCGATTATCCTAGTATATGTTAATATTTTTCCTTATTTCTGGAGGCCTAAATTATAATCTTGACTGCTTTTTAGGAGATGGTTTATTTCACATTTAGCAATACACTTTCGCCATAAGTCGCGCCCTCTAGTGGCGAAGCGCTTTTGTGACGTCAAAATGACGTAGATGAATGAAAGCAAAGTCGTTCAAATCGTCAACTCGTCTGGCTGTCTAGCTGCACGTTATTTATAAAATATTAAATCTCTCGAAAAGACAAGACGCTGTGAACGACACAAGGTGACTATCATCATCGATGATTGCGACTGACGAAACACCGACCCTTGTTGTTACACACGGTGACTACCTTTGCTGCAAACCACATTGACTGCCGTGGCCGTATATCACACATTAGAAAAAACAAATCATATTTTCCTACCGTTACCCTCAAACGGTAATGGTCACAGCAGCCGCCAATGTGGTTTACGTCATAGGTGGGCCTGTATATAATCGTTCCTCATCAACTAGGACGTAGGTCATCTTATCTAATTAAACGTTTTGATTTAATGTGTCACTCACCGTGAATGTTTGTTGAATTCACCTTGTAGATTTGAAAGCAGTATGGCGAAGAATCCCTAGAACATGAAATAGGAAATAATGTGTTAGTGCTAATGCAAATATTTGTATCGACTCTGTTCGATTTGTTGATATGTTTTACTTACTTTGAACTGCTGCAGGCAAATAACGCGTCATTTTCAGTGTTTACAAAATATCCACGATCGTATGAATCTGCCATTGGAATATAAACAAGTATGATATGAGTTTACGTTCATGTTTGCTTAAAAAGACTAATTCGAATTAAATCAACAATCTGAATTTACAACCACGTGTTCAATTTTGTGACGTAATTGCTTACCTGTCAATGGGCAGAGTTGAGTGATCAAATTACAACTGACACATCTCTGGTTTTGATTGTTGGGTATATGACACTGGCACTCCATGGGGTTGCAACAATCACAGTTATTCGCATCAAATGAGGACGAACCGTTGTTACAATCGCAGTAACTGATATTTTCTTGCACAGCTGTGGAAACGAAAGAATCGGTGATTTTATGTTTACTGCTTGATCTCCGCAAAAATCGAACGATTTGATTTTGTACTAGACTTTCTTTTTTATAGCTCTATACTGCGTTGAAGTACTCTTACTTATTCAGGTCTTCCACCAAGACTCGGTAACACTCGGTCGAACCAACGTACTGGTACTTATTTGAATGAGTGGGGGAGGCACACATTTCAATAAGAAGTGATTACCGCATCAATCAAATAGTTTAAAATACAGACATAGTGGCCATAATACAAGTGAACTTGTGGCGTCACTAAACAGCGCCCTCGTGTGGAATTACTTCATGCATGTTTTTCTGTAGTTTTGTATTTGATTATATACGAGTTATAAAGGCTATACACTCTCTGGATGCGTCCACGTTGTCCGCTAGATGTTGTGTCATACCTTGATAGTCTCCACGTCATCATTTTATTTATTTCACAATACGATTAATTCATGTGTATAATTAACTATTTTATTGTAATTTTTATAATTGAGAAAGAAGATGAAAAATGCGAACATTTAAAAAGTTATACATATTCACCTATAACTGTGTAAGAAAAATTCACATTTATCAAGGATTCTGTGAACAGAGAGCCCTCTCTGGAACGATAATGGAGCTGGATAATACCAATAAATTCATGCACTCCAATGACGTCATCGCTGTCGGGATCGATTAAAAGAGTAATTTGGAATTTCACTTCTCTGTTATACAAACCAAGATTACCTAACTGCATTGAAAGGAAATATCAGATTTAGATTAGAATATATTTGTATTATTATTATAATTGAATTGGTATCGTGTGTCGAAATGTGTAATATTTGTGCAATATCAGGTTTCCTATGTATGCTTATAAACAAATGAAATTTGTTACAGACCGGAGACACAATCAATTATTAAAGAAATAAAACATTAGTTGGCTTTTATTTATCGTAGTGGTTACGAATAATTATCGAACGATGAAATTAAATTATCTATCACGCGAACACGTGCTAATAAAGTTTAAAACTATTTAAATAGATCTGCCATACAAATTTACACCGAATTTGTGGTGAAGATATTCATTTTTGCGCCTCAGAATATAATTACTGAAAATTGATAAACTTTTATTTTTAATTTATCAATAACATGACTGAGAATGATTGAATAATATACTGTACGTACGTACGTAACATATATTTCTAATTGGAAACCCTTGTGAATGTGACATATATTGCATTGCCGGACCCTGTGTGATAACACGTTATTGATCACGAACATATACGATCATCCCCTACTTTACCTGGAATTGTATAAGCGTGTCGCGTGATTTGTCTACTTCCAGCGTGTTAAGGTGTGGGGAAGAAGCGGAGGCAGCTGAAAACTTGACGAACGGACTGAGTATCGACGTTATTGTAACATCATAAGCCATGGCTGTCGAATCGCTGCGATGACATATGGACGTAGATATGGTTACATTGTCCCTGAATAAAAACAACGATGTATGCAATTAGATCGTGTAAAGCATAACATTATGCACGGTTTTCTGTGAAAACATTCTTTGCCTAATTGACATATGGCTTTTTCTGATAAACATTGCCCAGACATACTGCTGAAGCTCATCGTTTTGCTACCCTGTTCAATTCACAATGGCTGACTAACGGCAATTTTGTAATATTCTTAAGTGACTGTGGAATATGTAGATGTATCTACATATTCAAAATGTATCTATATGTTAATACTATGTGCACTTTAATTGTGCCTGTGAATCTGTGAAAATTTACATAACTAGCCGTACCACTAAGCAACTTCACAATTGGTATGCTTACCCATAGTGATTGACATATCATCTTAGTAACATATCACATGTACAGAAACCAACACAAAGTAGTCACATTGTGTCGGTGACATGTTACATCTATGGAATTTCAAGTTAATTGTAGTACTAGTAATGTGGACAGGATGTGAATTTCACGAGATGAGCTGAAAGCTATGGCATACATCATTTTAAGATTTACCAATCAATCTCAATAAATCGCAGACATTTTCATAGAATCATGCAACAATAGTTAATAAGATTATGAAACAAAGTTTGGATAGATACAGATATTGACTAAACTAAATATTAAATATAGCTATTTTAAAAGGACATTTTTTGGGAGCCTATGCAAATAATTGTTTAATAATGATTTTTATAATAATTATTGTGACAATTATTATTATTATTATTATTATTATTATTATTATTATTATTATTATTATTATATAATTATATAAATATAAATTATATCCAACGCTCAGGCAAACCCTTACCCCGCTGTTGCCGCCGCTGTCAAATCCACTGATGCGGCAACCTGAAGTCTTGGTAAACCCACGTAGGCGTCTAGACTTAACTGCCCAACCCATATTGTATCCGCCCCATTATTGTACGTATACTGGACACCAGCCTTGAACCAAATAATGCTGCCGTTTTCCAAGCATGGGAGATCGTCGAGAATAGTCGTGACAATGACATCTAAACGATTCTGCACGTTGTCCACGTCACCGCCAATAACATTTAAATTTAAGAAATCTAACGTGATTTTCTGAGTATCGTTAAAGATGGGACCTACTATCTCCGCCGCTGTTGATGTATCAATATTCACACCAATATTGGTGGACACATCTATAACCGGTAAGATGGGACAAGTCGAATTTTCGGGAACTAAAAACACGATATGCGAAGAAAATATCCCTATCGGTATCATCATTCTCAATGTGAAGTAGACCATTTCTCCAGCCATGAGAGTCATCTGATCTCCTTCCTCATTGCTACTCAGTTGAACTATTGGAGTTTGGATTTCTGGTGATAAAATACAGGATGTACAATTAATTACATAAATGAGCGTTGATAATATTGCCACATTAAACGTTATTCTACATTGATCGTTATATTCTGTTTGAAGAGGGGAAACTGCATTTGGAAGAAAACGTTACTAGTGGACGAGGTTAATAGTTAAAATGAGAAAAAGTTAATAGCTAAACAAATTCTTGTTTTTAACTTGAGAATCTCTTTGTATAGATTAACTGACAACAATATCAGGTGGGACACCGGAGACGATGGTGTTGATGTTCTTGTATTTGACGAATTGAGTCGAATACTTGTATCGAATAGACATAATGAAAAATTATTCAGCCCTTGCTAGTTTCATCAATATCGCGGAAAGAAATCGTTAACTCGTGCTTGTGTTGCTGTATCTCAAAAAGACTGTATTGGGTCGTTACCTATTAACAAAAGCAGAAAATCAAATTGCACTACAGATCATATCGAACAGTGATCGTTTCACCATCGTTTCATAGTTACACGTTATGCCTTGTATAATTGAAATAATGCTAGAGCGGGAATAATGTTATAATGAGAACTTATACAAATCGACAAGACATGTGACACGTATTGATCTTATATGATTATTGAACTGCATATGTTCCAGTTCAATTTTCACATTTTATGTGTTTTAATTGAAGTTGTTCTCCATCAGTAATTATTCTAAGAGTAACTTTTAGTCAGTAACTGCTAGCCTGCATGTCCATTGTTATGAAACAGGTACCATCATGGGGTGTATCAGCTTTATGATGTAAGTAAGTGGTGGTATGCATATACCTATACAACAATATTCAGTCCTTCCGTGTTATGATAGCATTGCAAGCTTGAGGGATATAACCATGACAAACATAAGCATAGGCTGGAACAATTTAAAATATCTACTCATGACAGATGCCTTTTATTTAACCCAACATAGTGTCAGAAAGTAGACCAATGTTTTATGTGATATCTATTTTATCAGCATGAATGTCCTTCCACAGTTATTATATTTATAGTATATTTGCTGTGACAAAGCGCCCTCCCTGATATTTATGAATGTCTAATTCACAAAGGGCAAGAGGTACAGGGGTGGAAGTCTAATCAAACACAGAACGGTAATATGTGGTCTGTGGAGATATCATTTTGCAAAAGGAACATTCCATACAGGAAAGGCAAATTAATAGACCCTTAGTCAGGGCTCTCATAGTTTCCTGTGGGACAGGAACTCGGAACAAGGGGAAATAGCTTGATTTACTTTATATTTCTTGTTTCTTTTAATATAATGCGTCAGTGTGTTCAATTATAATATTGTCAGTATATTAAAGTAGTTTTTCATGCTTTATTATCAGTATTTTATAAATGTCGAAAAGTATCTACAAGTCCAAATTTAATTAGTGTGAGACAAAATCCTACAGTCAATGAAAGGTAAACATATTATTACATTTATAATTTATGAACTATATTGCCTGGCTGCAAACATAGTGTAAAATGCTACTAAGCAATTAGTTTTCTCTACTGAAGGCCGTGTGTATGTGTTTGACAGAATTTTGCTGGAGTGGATCAAACACGAGCAGATGACTTAAATTTCCATTAATTGATAAGTCTGTAGGACTGCATTCGCATAATTACGCTCCTCTAGCATATATAACATGAGGTAATAATGTCAGATGTGTATTGGGTTAAATTTAAATGTAAGTATTTATATGCAATCACTCGTTGTGTGCTTTTTACCTGTACAACTCGTGTTATCAATGTCCAATCTGTATCCATCGAAACACGTACAAGTAAAACTTCCAAGGGTGTTTTCACAAACGTGTTGACAGTTGTCTAATTCTTCTACGCACTCGTCGACGTCTGGAATATAAGAAAGCGTGACATGAATGTAAACATATAACCAGTATAGTCTGGCATAATATTCATAAATATCTTGTTAATCTTCGATGGTGCCATTGAATTAAGAACATTTAATTAGAAACTGGTTAATGAGAAAGTAATAATAGCCACGAGGCAAAAGCCCGGAATGTGATTGCGACGAGAAAAATCTAGGCAGCAAGGAAAAGAATATTTTGTTTCCATCATTCTTATAACTTTACATTTATCTTTGACCAATTTGCACAAAATCACTTGCAAATTGCAAATGATATGTCGGTGAATACACAGAACATAATGCGACCCATAATTATTTTGTCAAAGCTTTCCTATGGCAACATTCTTTCAATTATATATAACGCATCCGATACTTGTATTGCTATTGGTAACATCACTTTACATTTTCCATGTGTTTTTGTGTTTACCTGTACAACTAGAATTATCGGCGTTCAATTTGTATCCATCAAAACACGAGCAAGTAAATCCTCCAATGACATTCTCACAAACGTGTTGACAGTTGTTGGATTCACCCACACACTCGTCAATATCTATAATAAAGGAAGGGTTTGTAAAACGATAAAGGCTGGTATTGAACCTTAATATTTACTTTGGTTTGTAAATTTTACAGATTTATTACAGCTGTGTCAGATTTCATAAGAGCAAAATTGTAATAATGGCAAGCGATGAACAAATAATTGGAGATAGTGAGACACTCGTCTTTGCAATGATATGAAGTAGTCTAGTGTCTAGAGTATTTATGCAAATTATATTGGAAGTTTAATACCAGTAACATTTTATATGAATTGCCCACTCAGTCAACAAACATTTCTTTCAGACTCAAAATATAATAATTCGAGGTGTGCTTACACATATTCTGCATATAGTAGAGTGCTTAACCTTATTAGATATATCTTCAGTATTGTTGGCAGTGGAATCACCACCACGCTTAATATGCACGCCCCCCCCCCCGCTCGAACATATGAAGGCGTACAGAAATCTCATTCAGATAAACAAAACCCTGGAGAGAGCCACATTAATGTAGAATGATCAAAGACTGTAATCTTTTCCTAACACTCACACTCCCCTTCAATGTCAATGGTAATATGCTTGTTGTGCTTCATGCTTAAATAGCGGATCACAACACTGCTAGTGGTCTGTCGCAGGCAGTGGCTTCTTTACATGTTAACTGTGGGTTATGCTCACTTTCGGGGACAGGCCATGAGTGCAGTTGTCTGCAAGTCACAGTCCTTCTTATAACTGTGTCAACCTTCACTCATGTAGTATATTTACCTGAACATCCTGCATTATCAGCGTCCAGGTTGTATCCATCAAAACACGAGCAAGTAAAACTTCCAAGTATATTCTCACAAACGTGTTGACAGTTGTCTAATTCTTCCATGCACTCGTCGACGTCTAGAATATAAGTTAACCGTACAGAAAAACAAACGAATAATGCACAATTTATTTGTTACATGAAAACTGTTGGACAGAGTAACCTAAAATCTACATCATTAAATGGTATATGTACGTATTAATGACGTCTCTGAATGAAATGTAACTACTGTGCCACATTGATAAATCCATCTACACTGAGTGGATAAACATATACTGTAAAATGACTAATTTTCACTGGGTTTAAATTTCACTGATTTACCATTACAGGCATATTCAGTGGGTTTTAAATTCACTGTTTTATCATTTAGATAATGTGTTCTATGCTAAATTTTACATATTCACTGTGTTTTAATTTAGCGCATTTTTCCAGTCAGCGAAATAAGCTAAATTAAAACCCAGTGAATAATTACCCCCTTTACAGTAATTAACATTTTTATTGACTTCACATTTTTATTTTTTCTAGAGACTAAAATTAAGGTGATTATTATTCTTAAAATGAGTTCAATTCTAATAGTGTTTACAATCCTATACGTAACGCTGCACATAACCATGGTGATAGGATCAAGGGTCCTTGCTATCAACCGCTGGGTATCATGGCGTCACTATTTTGAGGTGTATATGGATTAGCGGTTTCTATCGATGTATTCATTTTACATCATTGTCCCGGGGGACATGACCTTCTCTTTTTACATGTTAAATTCCTACATATATGTATTAATGATATATCCCCTCTATAATACGATACTAGTTCATATATATGACATATTCACATATTAACATACTAGTTATTAAACATCGACTGCTCTGCACTTAATAAACATATATTGCGATTAATTAACGCCATACCTTTCTTGCACATAACACCACAATCCGCATTTGAATTGCAGTCGAACTCTTTCCATTTAAGGGTATCACCATTAATTGTCATGCAGTTCTTACTGTCGGAGCAGCACGAGCCACTCCACGAGACAAAGTCTGTGTTTGTGATTTCTTCCCCGTGCACAGTACGATATTCTGCGTTAACAAGTTCATCATGTACACCAATCCATACAAACTTGCCACTAGGACTGATTTTGACAAAGGAAAGAAAAGGGAATATAATAATTAAGGAACGAAAGGCGAATACGTAATAAGAAAGAAAGGGATATATAATGATTAAGGAATAGAAAGAGACATATAATTAAGGAAAGAATATAATAATTAAAGAAAGAAAGGGGATATTATAATTAAGGAATAGAAAGGGAATATAATAATTAAGGAATAAAATGGGAATATAACACATAGCTGTCACAAAATATATAAGTTTTTTTTTATTCTCACCACTGGTCTGTTGCAAACACAGTGTTCATGACGTAATTATTTTCGGCAGCATCTTTGATGTCTGCTAGATGACCAAGATTGTTGTCCTCACAATAATCTCTACTATCATACCATGTCATTTGTCCCGTCACAATCTCATAGCAATAACCATTGTAAACATAGACACACCCTAGAAGATGTAACATTTGCTCATCAGAACTCATTTGATAAGATGGTATCTGATTAAACAGCGCTAATATCTTCTGTGTTACCAGTTAATTCGGTCATGGTGAATCTAACGCTTTGATTGTCACAGAAGTCGTGATGCATGTCTTCAATATGATATATAAACCGTTCTAAATTCCATCAATTTAAAATATCTCATCTCGTATTTAAAATATGTTTCTGTGAAACAAAGGTTTGAGAATTTCAACTGCAATATTGCTTATAGCATCAACTAAGTTCCAATTGACAACACAACATAGAATTTATTGGTGGAGTATCGGTAGATGACTTAAAAATGACACATCATATCAAATTCGTCATAAATCGTGTTCTGCACTGAAATAAAAGTTACAATTTAGTAATATCAAAACTGATCACCAAAAGCGACTGACTGTGTTGAGAATATAAATAATATGTTCGTCGTCGCTCTGAAATGCTTAACATTTTTACATCAATGCTTAGAGTAGAATAAATACAAATTGGGAAATGAATGAATGAATTGATTACAAGTCGTATATTGGGAAACTCCCAAAACTAAAGGACAAGTCAAAGTCAAAATTGGTTCTTACAGGTATAATTATTATATATACATGTAATTTAATGCAAATAGAAACATTAGCGAATTGTCTCATCTAACAATTCCATTGCGCGAGCGTCTGATTTAAAACTGCTTCGAACAACAACATTTGGGTGGCGGTGGCGTTACTGCACGGCGATTGCCTCATTCCTATACGCAGACTCGAACATGTACCCCATTAAGAAATAATACCATTAAAACCTTCTCTTTTGTTACTTTGCTTAATTATCTATTCACAAGTTGTCAATAATGAAACAAGAAATATACGAACACTAATGCGTTATTGAATAGTTTGTTACGTAATATTAAAACTAAAGACTCTCTTGCTTTTAAAACGAACGTGACAAGTGGATGTGATTATATCATGAATCGATAAAATGCATTAAAATATGTTCAATCTCATTATTTGGATTTGTTGTTATGTTTGTCTCGTACGTGAATTGCTTTATTTTTTTAATATCGTGTATATATAGTCTAATTAGTAGAAATCCCAAACCAATTCTTTTCTTAAAATGAGTCAATAAACTGCATTATATAATCGTATCGTATTTCGTTGATTGCGTGCAATGCTCTATAAAACTAGAAGTGGTCTCGACGTACATACAAGTTTCTTTTAACAACGCGCATAATCAAAAGAAGATTATTAACTATACTATTGTATTACAAATAAATAGCTAGACATTCAGCAAGGCGTGTTTTTGTCAATATTTAATCTTTACAGCATGTATATCGTAAGCATTGTAGTGTAATAAGCCAACTACCGTGTGCGGGTATTATTCAGTTTAGTGTGGGCATTGCAGTGAATTGCATCAGCTGCCCAGCTGGCTAGTTAAAACAAAAACCAAACATGCACGGAAAAGGAAACTCGCGTTTCCATTGGGATATTTGTTCACGTTCAGGTTAGCATGTAGTATGATTAAATCAATAGTGACGTCCGTGGTAATGTACACGGAAATAAGAAACTCAAACCCTTGAGGGAAAATGCTACTGGTTCGTTTTCCCTATATATTACGCATATTTCAACGCATGTAGCAAAGAAAATAGTTCGTCTCAGAATGTGTATATAATTAATCATTTTAATATTAGTCACCTGTGTGTATTGCTTATTGTTTTGAAAACATGTCAAATAATATACACAAAATCATAATTTTAGTTTTTCGCAATCAAATTACATTTCGTCATTAAAATCCCCCCAAAAATAATTTTGTATTTCATATTTACATGTACCCTTGTTCCCTTTTGAGATAATGAAATATATCCTTGCCACAGGAAGCATTATTAAAATGCGCTACAAAATCAAAACGTGCTATTTTCATCCCATTTTGAAAATCATTTTTGGAAAAATCTTCAAATAAGCAATATCACAGATTTCTTCTTACAAATGTAAACTGTCATTGTTAGTACTAGTGGTGCTATTTTGTTTTGTTAAATGAATAATTAGTTACGTCAACTAAAAAAGAATGATTGTACTTTACGCAATCTACGCTATCTAATTATTTGTATCTTCATTTATTCACAAATTCGTCATTACTTTAGACCATATGTCTATGAATTCGAAATAATTAATTTAAAACATTTGCACCAGGATTCGATGACGTCAAACTAAACAGAAAGTTTTCTTGAAATCTGATAAGTCGTTTTTGAGATAATAAACTAAAATAATAAACAGTCCCAACAATAAAATAAGCAGACTCAGATTCAGGTGGAAACCTACTTACGAATGTGAAACCCCAGAATTTATCCTTCTAGAAATAAAATGTACGTCAGGCCAATATGAGTAATGTAAATGTTTAAATTAGGCCACCAGCCAATTTTTCGAGCAAATGATGGTTAATAGTAATAAATAATGGTCATTTGTTCTGTGTTAGGACGCTTTTAATATTTGTTTCTATGGTGGAGATAATATGCTTATCTCAAACTCTTTGACTGGTGACGTCATGCTGAAAACATCATATATCGTGATTGATACGTTTTGTTATTGTGAATTATTTTAAAAATCTTTGTTTTTAAAAGTGGCAAAACATGCTATTTTGATTCGACACTGTATGTTATAGAATTACTCCGATTAAATATGTTTTTAAATATTTTTTGACATGTTTCTCAAATCACAATATTGTAACTTGCAAAGAATACTGTCTCTAGTTACCATGGAAGTATAGCTCAATGATTATACGTAATAAACATTCATTATGAGTGTGCCTTCTTTAAGGCATCATATAATACGTAGTAATCCATTATCGAATCTTTAAACTGATACTATCGGTTTTTAAAAATGAAAATATATCTATTAAAGTAGAATTTGCTCAAATAACAAATAATTGAATAGAAATAGAGTAGTTATACGTTAAAGATAATCTTCTGACAAAGCCATGACACTTACACAGTTTTGATAACAGGACTTGAACTGGATTTGAAAATGACAATCAACATCTTAACTTGAGATAATACTAATAAACAATTTTATTTACGATTTAGATATACACCAGCAAACTGAACACGTTCCTATTTTTAATAGTAAATATTGTTTATCTATCTTATCGGGCATGCATATGCGATCTAATGGTTCTTTAATGGACATTCACATTTACATTGGCATAGATAGTGTACATTTACGCAGTGCACCTATGTCATTACAGAAACGTTTTACATACAACACTTGTCCGTTCCCTTTTAAAATACTAAATTACAAACTGTCACGTAAAGTTTATATATAATAGACATCATGTTAATTTTTCACTCCTTCGCCGAGTTCTGCTAGCTGTAAAAGGTGTGTGCTATAATAAAAATCAAAGCCTTGCTTGCAAGACGAATCATTGTTATAAATTTCCCGCGATGTGAAAATACGATTGTGCATTCACGCCACTGGTAACATTAGATTATTAACAATGCTGCTTTCCCTTCAGCGCCGTGTAATAATTAATTATTACAATCATGTGTTATTTGAGTTCATTAAGTGACTGTAGATGCAAGAAATAATTTGGAGATGGTGCATCGATGTTTACAGTAACTATAAGTTATACACAACGCGCATTACAGAGGGGATTGAAACATATATATAGCATCGTTTATGGTTAGATTTATAAAATGTGAAAAATAATATAAAATTATAAAAGGCAACCTCGTCATTGTGGTCAATGGAACCTTTAAGTGCTTTGTAATAAAATCTAAGTAATAACCTTATGTTGATAATATAATTACAGTCAGTGATACTATGACAAGATGCTACGACGATTGAAAACTAAAAGCTATGGCAGTATTAATGAGAGGGAACATGTATAATGTCAAATATTACGCTAGTAGGACTTTATGTAAAATAGGTTGTGTTCACCGATTCATAGGTTTCAACAACTCCATACTCAGATGGACGCTTTTTTCAACACTATATGCAGTACAGTAATCAAAGTTATAAATGCCAGTTAATAATTAATATAATGGTCCCATACACTATATTCAAGTTGTCTGGCTCTCATGTACTCATATAATAGTGTTATAGTATTTCACATGAACGTGTGTATTTTAAAAGTGTACGCCGAAATAACGGCCATGTTCTGACGTCAGGAACGGAAAACAAGTCACTAGTATCAACAAAACAGCACAACATAAAAGGACAACAAAACAAGAGTCCCATTTACTGGTTACTGTCCCTTATTTTACCACCAAGTAGTACACGATAAATGATATTGGTACATATGGTGTGGATGCACATGACAATGTACGATATGCATGTGTACGCTCAGAATTACCCCAGTCTGAATAAAACTGACATAAAAATAAACACGTACCTTCTGTGCCAAATCTGACAGAGATGATAAAGATTGCCAATATCTCGACGAGTCCATACATTGTCATTGTAACTATTTAGAACACTGTACTCAGTGATGCTTAAAACGTAATATCATATTCCCGCTGTTGCACACAAAAACACACCGGGGGAGCTAAACCTATATTTGCATTCAGTCTATCAAGACACGGTGGAGATGTCATTAACACTTTTAACTTGTGGCATGTTCGTTAGATGCGGGAACTTAGTGTGTAAGTTGTGTTTATGCATTACGACTAATGATCATCTTTTTATGTTCAAACTGAACAAATTTCTTTCTGATTTTATCTGTTTTTAACTAAATGATTGATAATTGTTGGCTGTAATGATTTTTCAGTACTTTGTAAAATCTCAGTATTTACTGTAGATAGAAAAACAATTTTCGAATATAAATAACATTAGTATGTTCGATTGTGATGATGATGTGGGTGCTGTAAAACAAAGCACATACTGAGTACATAATTGCAAATATATATATATATATTATAATCTCAAATATTGAAGTACTTGTGAATGAAATAACTTCATGGTGATACATATTGACTGAAATAGATAATGTCTGTCTGTCTACACATTTTGTCCTGATGGTGATGACTACATCTTCCCATCCGATAAGTATATAATTGGTAATCTTATGGATGCATTAATTGCGTTGGCATTTATATTTTACGCTACACCAGTATACTTAGAATTATCATAAATCAATATCTCAACATTATTTTACCACGTAATTGTCATTATATACAGTTGAATTGTTTTGATTAGATTTGATTAGAAGCGTTATGTTGTTGTTTGTCAAAGTGTTGTAATTTAATTCTAGGCGTGTGTTTGCTGTATAATTGTGTCGACAATCGTGCAGTGTTTGTCAAATAACATTAACTAATGTGTACATTTATGTAGTAAGGTTGTTTATAGGGCTTTTATGCGCTTTGTGTATTATGCTCGGGCACTTGGCTTGTATGGGTAAGATATATGATTGTGCTGCAAAATCAAAAACGTTATTTTTTAATTCATTTTTAAACTAAAATTTACATCCCGTTTTCAATAAAATGTGGACATTTTGAAAATTCAAAACACCCTTATTCTAAGAAATACTGGCTTTATTTCTGAACAGGGCGATACACCTTTCTTGTTCTGTTTGAAGGCCTTCATGTAATGTATTTGGTTCACGTTAAAACCTCCAAAACAACAGGGTCATCCATTTTTTATGCATTCGCAAAGTCAGTTTTTGTTTTAAAAATTTCATACATACACTTTTGGGGTTTTCGTAACATACGATCTCGAAATATACCCCCCTTCCGCGTAATTCTGAATGAACATGCATATTCCTAGACCATACAGGTGGAAGGGGCTCAGAGTTCTGCCACTATGGCTGACTCACTGAGCGGTGAAACCATAGAGTAAATCGTTGCAGCGTATACTGTTTAGCACTAGGAGAGTGGCGCCTTTGGGTATGGCCAATAAAACAGTCGGTGGTCCCGCATTGCCTGCCTGCCGTCAATGCACGTTTTTGTATCAAATAAAATAAAAAGTAAAATCATGTTTTGTTTTGTTTTCAGTAATCAACGCGTTGCTTCGATATAATAAATTGAAGCGTTCTGGTGGTTCGATATTGACGTGGAATTGCAGATTGAAATTAATCATTCTTTTTTGTGCCGTAAATTATTATAAAGTTATACGATTATTACTCTGTACATCTGAGGTCAAATGATGGATTGGACGAGTCTGTGTCGTTAAATATTTTAATACATTTAGTCATTCATTCATTCACAGTTTCACATTTTTTGAAGTTCAATTAGATGGTTTGGGTTTATCGAATAATACATTTGGAAACATTAAATGAACCAATATAATACATACCATATTTGATTAATTAATTAATTCATTGATTGATTCATTCATTCATTCATTCATTCATTTATTAATTCACTCATTCATTCACATATTATTCGTTCATTTATTAACATTTTGCAATCTGTATTGAGTACGGTGTGTATTTCTTCAATTATTGTTTTCACAGCTCAAAGTTCAATCTCAGTACTACAGCACTTTATTTTGAAACAAAATTGTATTTAGTTTAACCTGAACATCAATGTTTTGCAATTACCCATACACAGGGCGATGTTTACTTTGTTCCCAAGAAAAGCAGCAATTATTGAAAATGTACCAGTGGCATTGCTGTATAGTACTACGTCTAAATCACATTGAACAGAGAACGAAGTTTCCATTGTGTATTTGTTGGCTCAATCAAAAAGACCCGAAGACAATTTTATGACATTCTTTACTGAGTAAAGACAACCTTTATTTTCAAATTGAAAGCGATCACGTCTCTGTACAAAGGCTGACAATGAAACGGAAAAGCAACCAATATAACATCATGAACGCATGTTTACTGTGTTTAATATAGCAAAGTGGAAGGTCGCAGCAACCGTCTACATTCACTTGAACTCAGTAGTAATAATATTGATAATATATTACATATGCCCGTGAACAGATTTGAACCTTACGGTGGAAGGTTTATATGTTGATTTATTCCATTGCATGTTTTAGTAAGTAGTTTTTGAATCGCACAAAATGTATTTCAGTCATCATTTTAATATAACTGCATAAAGGTGGCCAAATCTTACCGAAATATTGTTTCAGACACAATTTCATGGACGAAGTCAACAAGGCTAATGCCACAAGAAATGTGTAAACTGAAGGCCACTTTCGTTGAGATAGGTCACGTGATGAGAATCATGGATAATCTTGACGCACAACGCACACTATTATGAAAATTGGCACATAAAATCACCAGTGAGAGGCCGACAGCGGAAGGCTTAGCCTCTCAAGCTGGCGACGTGTTTCGCCCGGGGTTCTCGGTAAGTTGTCATCCCTGTACCGTAATACGTGATGTTCGCCTGACAAAACTGGATTTCAAAAGTGTATGAGACCTAAACACAACCCCGCAGCCATCTTTTTTCACTTGTAAGTTATTCAGCGTACAACGTAATGACACAGTAAATGTTTTATTAAATATAAAAATCAGAGAAAAACAATTGATCGATAGTTAAAGCTATTGCCCCTTTAAAAATGAATGAATCTTCCACAGCCATATTAGATGAGGTTTATGGCAAGACAATGCGTGAGACGAATGCAAATACATTATCGCACCCAGACTTCGAATCCAAGGTGTACATTGTCGTGTGATAACGCAAAGCTGTGACGTCATAACAACTTCTATAATGGTGAATCGTATATAATACCCCGAAATGTCGACATATTACATATATATAGCGACAGATTGAAAAGAAACAAATCGACAATATATAGGCCTTAATGTGATTAGAATCTTGTTGGGTTAGTTGTAAACATTCCTTACATATATGGTAAAACTTTGGATAGCTGAGTCACGTGCACATTATTGTTCAAACACTGGCCAGTTAACAGAGCTCTCGACATGTACAGGGTCGCTCAACGCGTATGTAATAACTTACTGTAAAATTGTATTAACTTTTGGCTCGGCCGATTACGTTCAAAATTGACACTGACAGGCAGGTCACATCTGCACTCTAGTTTGGTGGGAAAATCTATAAAATCCTGCCTCACCGTTATCATGGCAACAGCTGAAAACTGATACTTTGCGCCAAATGTATCTATTCTTAAAATGTTGGACTTATCTCATTCTACTCTGCTTGAGTATGTGCCTAAAGTTACAATTTGATTTTGGTATCTTTATTTGTTGCCAAGTAGCTGGTGGTAACTTTTTGTGTCAGAAACTACGTTTTGCCTTTTGTTTTATAATGTCGTATTATATATTTACGGCGCTCTGAACCGACCGCAGTTTTCGCAAATATATATAATTATAGTAACACAAAGGTTAATTCGCCCATATAATCTGTTGACTATTTCACATGAATTAGTTTACGTTCATCACTACAGTTCGAATTGTGTATATGTATCTTACACGCGATCGTATGACATATATAACGACGTGATGCACTGACACGATGCGCTTTTAGATACACGCTGCTATAAATAAGTTGTCGTTTCTAAATTCGTGATTCAGCTTTGAAAATGCTGGAATATGAACCGCTGTAACGAATTGTACTTCCGTTTAACGGCAAGGGAACCGCTGAAGTACTAGTATACTTATTAAATAAAGGCTTCGCTGTTACTATTATACTGGCTAAAATGGTTTATTCAAGAGACGGAGAGTCGAATTCCTTGACAGATCGATGTCACTGAAAATATATTGATTGATGTAATTAAACACGGACTTACTCTCCATGTGTTCGTTTATCTGGTTTTAATAATATTGCTAGAATGGGGAAAATATCGCTGGTAATGCGAACATCTAGTTACTATTTAAAGGAGATGAACTGTGTATTTTGAATTTTACACAGTTTTATGATGTCACGTAATACTGAGCCAAAATGGCGCAAATACAGGGATGTTTATGTTACGTAATATTTAATCAGCACCTAGACAGCTGGAAAATCAATTGTTAGTCGCGCTATGCCCAGTATTTGCATGTTATTATTATGAATACATTGCATTTCGCTGTGTTTATTCATTTGGTACCACCAAATAAATGTCGATGTTACATGAATTACAAAAATACCGAAAAAAATATAAAAAAACGCAGCTCACTGTTTTAATTGCAGTGCGTGTGTTATCATTATCTATGCAGTAATATAATAGTACCTTCTATTGTATTTTCCGGAAAAAAACGTCGATTTGATATTTAGATGCATGTGGAATGCATAAATCACCGAGTTTCCTGTTGCAATTTCCACCGAAAAAAACGTACACCACTTCCAGGGTACTTTCTTTCCGTAATTAGTCGTATTACAAACACACACAGATGAATGGACGGATGTACCTGTTGTCGGGCGCCTATTGAGGCGGTTGCGTGGTTGATCAATGATAGGCTAAGAGACCAATCAATTCGGAACCGCTACCGACCTGTAAGCATAGTATGTTTGGTTTAACTTGAATAATGGGCTCATATGTCGTCACGTGGGAACCGCATTACGTAATGTAGTGTACGAAGTGTTCTAAGTTGAAGAATTGCACTTAATACAGCTCATTCTATGAATTAATCAGCACTTTGAAAACAAAAAGCTTAATTTATTTACTTTTTGAATGCATTTTATTGAATTTATTGAATTGCATCAACATGCACTATAATTGGTAAATGCATGATCATATTACGAAATTTCGTAAGATGAGATGGTTGTCACAAATTATTGTGTATTTCTGATCAATACTATTTTTCGTTTACGAAATACGAATATTGAATATGGGTGAAAAAACAAAACGTCGATGACTTGTATATAAATCAATGAGTTATGCAACAGTTTTGAAAGGTGTAATAATTTTAAACATTGACTAACGTTACGATCGCTGCCACTGTTACCACTATCGTGGTATCATTTGCACATACGGACTTACTCCCCTTGTGTCCGTTTATCTCGTTTGTGTTCAGTACATAGACATGTGCTCAGTGGATGGACTTGCGTTCAGTGCATAGACATGTGTTCAGTGGATGGACTTGTGTTCAGTGCATAGACATGTGCTCAGTGGATGGACTTGTGTTCAGTGCATGTACCTTGGCTCAGTGGATGGACTTGTGTTCAGTGCATAGACATGTGCTCAGTGGATGGACTTGTGTTCAGTGCATGTACCTTGGCTCAGTGGATGGACTTGTGTTCAGTGCATAGACATGTGCTCAGTGGATGGACTTGCGTCCAGTGCATATACATGTGTTCAGTGGATGGACTTGTGTTCAGTGCATAGACATGTGCTCAGTGGATGAACTTGTGTTCAGTGCATGTACCTTGGCTCAGTGGATGGACTTGTGTTAAGTGCATAGACATGTGCTCAGTGGATGGACTTGTGTTCAGTGCATAGACATGTGCTCAGTGGATGGACTTGTGTTCAATGCATGGACATGTGCTCAGTGGATGGACTTGTGTTCAGTGCATAGACATGTGCTCAGTGGATGGACTTGTGTTCAGTGCATAGACATGTGCTCAGTGGATGGACTTGTGTTCAGTGCATGTACCTTGGCTCAGTGGATGGACTTGTGTTCAGTGCATAGACATGTGCTCAGTGGATGGACTTGTGTTCAGTGCATAGACATGTGCTCAGTGGATGGACTTGTGTTCAGTGCATAGACATGTGCTCAGTGGATGGACTTGTGTTCAGTGCATGTACCTTGGCTCAGTGGATGGACTTGTGTTAAGTGCATAGACATGTGCTCAGTGGATGGACTTGCGTTCAGCGCATAGACATGTGCTCAGTGGATGGACTTGTGTTCAGTGCATAGACATGTGCTCAGTGGATGGACTTGCGTTCAGTGCATAGACATGTGCTCAGTGGATGGACTTGTGTTCAGTGCATGTACCTTGGCTCAGTGGATGGACTTGTGTTAAGTGCATAGACATGTGCTCAGTGGATGGACTTGCGTTCAGTGCATAGACATGTGCTCAGTGGATGGACTTGTGTTCAGTGCATGTACCTTGGCTCAGTGGATGGACTTGTGTTAAGTGCATAGACATGTGCTCAGTGGATGGACTTGCGTTCAGCGCATAGACATGTGCTCAGTGGATGGACTTGCGTTCAGCGCATAGACATGTGCTCAGTGGATGGACTTGCGTTCAGTGCATAGACATGTACTCAGTGGATGGACTTGTGTTCAGTGCATAGACATGTGCTCAGTGGATGGACTTGTGTTCAGTGCATGTACCTTGGCTCAGTGGATGGACTTGTGTTAAGTGCATAGACATGTGCTCAGTGGATGGACTTGCGTTCAGCGCATAGACATGTGCTCAGTGGATGGACTTGCGTTCAGCGCATAGACATGTGCTCAGTGGATGGACTTGTGTTCAGCGCATGTACCTTGGCTCAGTGCATGGACTTGTGTTCAGTGCATAGACATGTGCTCAGTGGATGGACTTGTGTTCAGTGCATAGACATGTGCTCAGTGGATGGACTTGTGTTCAGTGCATAGACATGTGTTCAGTGCATAGACATGTGCTCAGTGGATGGACTTGTGTTCAGTGCATGTACCTTGGCTCAGTGGATGGACTTGCGTTCAGCGCATAGACATGTGCTCAGTGGATGGACTTGTGTTCAGTGCATGTACCTTGGCTCAGTGGATGGACTTGTGTTAAGTGCATAGACATGTGCTCAGTGGATGGACTTGCGTTCAGCGCATAGACATGTGCTCAGTGGATGGACTTGTGTTCAGTGCATAGACATGTACTCAGTGGATGGACTTGTGTTCAGTGCATAGACATGTGCTCAGTGGATGGACTTGTGTTCAGTGCATGTACCTTGGCTCAGTGGATGGACTTGTGTTAAGTGCATAGACATGTGCTCAGTGGATGGACTTGCGTTCAGCGCATAGACATGTGCTCAGTGGATGGACTTGCGTTCAGCGCATAGACATGTGCTCAGTGGATGGACTTGTGTTAAGTGCATAGACATGTGCTCAGTGGATGGACTTGCGTTCAGTGCATAGACATGTGCTCAGTGGATGGACTTGTGTTCAGTGCATGTACCTTGGCTCAGTGGATGGACTTGTGTTCAGTGCATAGACATGTGCTCAGTGGATGGACTTGTGTTCAGTGCATAGACATGTGCTCAGTGGATGGACTTGTGTTCAGTGCATAGACATGTGCTCAGTGGATGAACGTGTGTTCAGTGCATAGACATGTGCTCAGTGGATGGACTTGTGTTCATTGCATGTACCTTGGCTCAGTGGATGGACTTGCGTTCAGCGCATAGACATGTGCTCAGTGGATGGACTTGTGTTCAGTGCATGTACCTTGGCTCAGTGGATGAACTTGTGTTAAGTGCATAGACATGTGCTCAGTGGATGGACTTGCGTTCAGTGCATAGACATGTGCTCAGTGGATGGACTTGTGTTCAGTGCATGTACCTTGGCTCAGTGGATGGACTTGTGTTAAGTGCATAGACATGTGCTCAGTGGATGGACTTGCGTTCAGTGCATAGACATGTGCTCAGTGGATGGACTTGTGTTAAGTGCATAGACATGTGCTCAGTGGATGGACTTGCGTTCAGCGCATAGACATGTGCTCAGTGGATGGACTTGTGTTCAGTGCATAGACATGTGCTCAGTGGATGGACTTGTGTTCAGCGCATAGACATGTGCTCAGTGGATGGACTTGTGTTCAGTGCATAGACATGTACTCAGTGGATGGAATTGTGTTCAGCGCATTAGCATGTTTGATTATCTGCATACAATAAGCAAATATTTAATTCAGTAACAGGATTTTTACAGTGATAATCTACAGCCTAACTGAAACGAAATTAGACTCAAACAAAAGACATTCTCCTCTTTTGATCATTGTACCTGTATATTCTAGTGGTGTTTGCTCAAACTTAGTACACGTGCAGTCTATCAATATAAAACGTACATACAGGAAAGTATACATAAAGGGGTTATTTGTATGTTGTTTCTAAGTTATATTAAGAAAGTAAATGTATCAATGACCTCCAATAGGACATATTGAATATCTTGTTTTCACCCGAGCATACAAAGCACTTAGAATTGACAAAGAACACCCTAATTTTGCGTATTCAATTTCTGGGCACAGTAATAATATTTATATACAGATAATTATACCAATCATCGTTGTTACACTTATGTAATGGTTTAATTATACCATAGACCCTCCATTGAGACTGTGGTTACACCAAATCTGGAGTATAGTATCCCTGCATGGACACCATATTTTCAGGACGATGTGATGAAATTGTATTTTACGTCGCCTGAGAGCTTTTATGATACATGTGTACCCGCTTTTAACATTTGTATCAAATCTCCAATCCATTGTTTCTTTCCAATAGTACAACAAAGATTCGGGTAAAAAAATAGTGCTAGTAAAACACTGAGGCTAAAGTCTGTCACCCTAAGAGTTATTTACTCCTGGAGTGAAGTGGTTGTGAAAGCTCTCGTCAATTAGTGCCTTCAAATTGAGATTTGATCATCAATCACTATAATTATAGAGACTGTTCTGGTTTATGCGACTATAAATTGGTACAGTCCTTTGTTTGAATTTACTGCACGACTTTACTATATTAATTTGTGCGTGTTATTTAGAATGGTGAAATGGCCATTAGGCCAACAAAACTAGTATTAATGTGTTGATGTGATGTGATCGACGCAAGGGGGCGCTGTGTTATAGGGTTTGTTTTTTTATCAAAATGGCGGCGACGAATACAACAACAACGCCGGCGAAAAGCAGTCCAAGAGATGCCCAGGTTATGGCAGCTATTCTTAAAGATATGGGAGTTAGTGACTATGAACCTAGACTGATTAACCAAATGTTGGAATTCACCTTCAGTAAGTGGAAACTGAATTCACAGTTACGCTGTACACACATACACATCGCACGGCTAAATGTGGTCGATTATTGTTTTTGTCGAACACGATTTGGCAATTCGAACTTCTTGCGCATTTTCACGTTGCGTGATTCAGTAGAACTGCACTGTATATTACATTGTGTGGGTCATGTAATGATATGAACTATTAGTATGATCGTAGTAAAGACAGCTTGGGCGTAATAGTATTTTGTTGTTTCTTTGTTGCAGCCGGAGTCCTGTGATAGAGGGGCTGTGGTTGTAGACACAGACACCCGTGGGGGGGGGGGGGCACTTCCACCTTAAGTGGGTAGAGGTGTGCAGCCCACCTTTTGTAAACCTTACTCACTTCTAAACAATTTTTTTTTTTTTATTTACATACCCACTTCAGCGACCTACATGGCTTAACTCTTAAAATGTACAGAAAATATAGTTATCGTAATCCATCATATCGTGAGCAGCTATTTTGATCCACCTGGACATCCCAGTATCCTAGTTACCTCGGGCATGCGAAAGAACGCTTATGCGAGAGCTAGATTGAAACGGGATCTTAGTATCATGTCACCATAGTTGCAAACCCCAAGTAATGTACCTCTGGTATGACACAATATCACAGGATTTTCACATAATAACATCTAAATACACAAGACTATAAAATAAGTAGCCATTTACAAATTATCCAAATAAATAAATAATAAATAATTAATATACCGTGAATACCAAGTAAACTGACTCTTATCTTACAGGGTATGTAAGTAACATTTTGGATGATGCCAAAGTGTACTCCCAGCATGCTGGAAAGAAAACTGTAGATACAGACGATGTAAGACTGTCAATTCAGCATCAGATGGACCACACATTTACTTCACCTCCACCAAAGGATGTAAGTATCAGAAATACAGCCTTATCTCCAAGGTAGCTTAAATGAATGTTGTCATCATGACTGTCCTGTGTGTGTGATGCGACCATCAAACACAAATGTTTATCTATGAATGAAACAAAATCTGATATACCGCTAGTTAGATGCACCACATACTGGTGTACACACCCCTCCTACATCACATTGCTACTAATGCACATACGAAAGATAGAAATACAGACATAGGACAAAACGAAAATACATCTTGGCATCAATCATATTTGAAAACTTGAGTAAAGATGAGGTATTACCATAGATACATCCATATGCCATTGCTATTACTTATTGCCATATTGGGTTTGAATGAATGAATGAATGAATATAATGTCTCTAGATGGCAAATTATATGTACAGTATGTACAGTAGATCTCAAATTGTTATTTGAAAACTCTCATAGCACATATCACTAGAAGGGTTTTCTCTATCTATATGTATATATACACCAATAATTAATTTTATAAAAAATATATAATTGGAGAAGATACTCTCATACTTGTAGATGGTAAAAAACTGTGGCACTCTCTGTCCTGAGTTCTTTTGCCTTAGAGGGGCAGTGGGCCCATACTGTCACCTACACTAAACAAAATGAAATTCGTCATACTTTCTTCATTTATCATTTTAGTCCCCGTTCAGGTGAAGTCTGTGTTACATATGCACGTAATTTTTTTTCAGATCTGAAAATCATAAGTGGGTCTTTTTCAAGCTTTTCATCCAAAATTACCTCTCTCTACTACACTGACAGAGCAGCTGAGCATGCTCAGAATAATTGATTCTGTTATATTCAGATTTATGAATTCCTGATTTCTGATTCACAAGTTTTACCTAATCATATTCGAACCTAACTAAATGAAACAGAAACTCAGTTTGCACTATACATCGACAATACAGAGCTGTCACTAAGAAACCAAAAACACTTAGGACAACTGAGACTAAGAATTTGTGTTACAGAAAATATTCACATGTATGAAGATACAGCATGCCTTATATTTATGAATTTAAAATTATTATTACATATTATGCACTGTTTAAAATAATAAAAACTTTTTATTTTGAAAAACGTAATTTTTTTTTTCCAGATCTGAAAATCCTAAGTGGTTTTTTTTCAAAATTTTCATCCAAAATTACCTCTCCCTACTGCACTGACAGAGCAACTGAGCATGCTCAGAATAAATAATTAGCTTAGATTGTAATGCTATTGTTTTTAGTGATGTCATGACCTGGTTATGAGCTGGTCATGACCTTGATCTGAATCAGTGACAGATGGGTCGTACCATCACCAATCTCAGTGGAAAATGTTGAGGGGTGTCAGGGCTACATTTTGATGGGAATTATAGTGGTGATAATGAAACAAAACCCAGGTCCTGGTATTATACAAAGACTTGAATTACCGGTAACAGTCAAGTCAAGTTGTTATTAAAGGTACATCAAGGTTTACTCAGATTTATGAATGGAGTTGCTTGAGCATGTATGAGACATAGTTTGATTGCACTTGGAGACGGGTCAATGAAAGTTTTCAGTTATCAGATTAAGGGAAATCACTTTATGATGAGTTGTACCCTCATAGAGTACATATTAAATCAATTGTTTGCAGATGTTCCATGTATTATTTTAATATGAGTATTTTATAATTAAATAACGGGGACTGTGTTTTGTCAATAGAAACATTCCTTTTATAAATTTACCAGACAATTATGACATAGTCAATCTAATGTTGCGAGTATATTATAGTACATTTACATCCTTCATATTGTATATTGCAGTTATTAATGGAAATAGCCAGGGAAAGAAACAGTGCTCCATTGCCGCTGATAAAACCACACAATGGACTCAGACTACCTCCAGATAGGTACTGTCTGTCAGCAGTCAATTATAGATTAAAACACCTACACAAAAAGGTAAAATTGAACAAATTTGATGGAACATTGAATAATTGCTATACAGAATATACATCACTAGGTCAATAGTTTTTGCATACTATATTGTGTTCACAAAGTCATTGTACTGTTGTATTATTAGAACATCTGAAAGTCATATAGCGCCATCTGTCATTAACTTGTCCAGTTGAATATACATAGGTTTAGAAACTGTGCTGTAGAATCATCTATGTAACTCCAGCATACAATCCTTTAATGATGAAGCCCCATACAATATTGTAAAATTTACTGTTCCCAGTATAATGCACAACTACATGTACATAAATAATGCAATGTATATCATGCGTTTAACTTTCTCATTTCATCATTGTAGTTGTCATCTTTACTGTTAAATTTTCTTGTTTATTTCTTGCAGCACACATTAACAATTCCAAAGCTCAACATTGGTCCAGGTATGAATTCTTATCTACATCACTATTTATATTGATTGCTGCATGTCTGACTAATATTTCCTAAGCTTGTTAAGATCAAGTGTTAAGAAACATGTTCTCACCAGGCCCCAAAAATCATTACTCGTGTGTATATATCTTATTTTTCTGATTTTGATATTGCCCTTGCTATACCTAGAAGGACATATTTCAATGACAAGAATCTCTGTTTGTTTTGGGGTGATTACCATTTGTATGCGATTTACCATACAAAATTTCATTTGAAAATTGAGATACAATGTACATCAGGTAATGAAGTTTGGTAATGAAATTTATTTGTTTAGCCTACCTAATACCTAAAATTAACTTGAGTAGTCATTATTGTATGTCTAAGAAATAAAGTTTACTATAAAAAAAACTAATATCACAGACTGAAAAGCGGATTAACCACTGGACTATAATATTTTAAAAAGTCAGATTGTGATGTTAGAAGGGACGGTGGTGGATAAGACACAATTGTATCATGCAATTTCAGCATTATTATATCAAATATTTGCAATGTTGTCAAAAACTTAACATTATTAGCTCCGCTGTCGACTTTGTCGAGTGGAGCTTATCATATGAGTGATTGTCCGTCGTCGTCGTCCGTGTCAATGTTTTACTTTTTCGACTTCTTCTTGAAAACTACAAGCCTGAATGCTTTGATACTTGGTGTGTATGTAGCTGGGGTAGACCTCTCTTAGATTTGTTCATTTCATGATAATATCTTCAATTCTCT